TTAAATGCTAGAATAATGCCATTCTTGGTACAAGCGAAAGAAAGTGTACTTATAGGCATTAAAAATAAATGATATTCTGTAATTTGTTTCATTTCACTATTATTATTGATTTCAAATTTCTAATCCAGTATTTGTTTGACTCATTCATTGTAAGTTAAATTCTATAGTATCCTCTTTATTTTATCTTTTACTCTAAATTTAATATATATTAGATTCCCTTGATGAATTCAGTTTTAAGGACATGAGAGCAATGCCATATATTGATATATGCACAATTTGATTCAGACATTGTGTTTATATGAGGAAACACAACTTTTGGGGCTATAGAGTATATTAAAATTGGTTCTCAATCTTTGCTTGGCTGATGCTTAGACATGTTCTACACACTCTACTTTGTTAAACTAGTGCAGCATGACAAAAAGATGATGAAACACTCTCGTTGAATTTGTTGCTGCAACTATATTAGAAGATGTTCATTGAAATATAGCACGTATACAGGTAGAGATATTCTCATTGTCGTGAAATATTTGAGATATTCTTTGAGTCTATCTCCTATTCTTTTCTGGCGATAACCCATCTTACGGTTTAATTTGATGTTGATCTAGTTTCTACTGCCAATCGCTTGAGAATTTTATCACATTGCTTCATGTCCAGTTGGCTATTTAATAGTTCACTTAACCAGACTTGAAGCTATGATAAACATTGTAGTTTGAACTTTAAACAGGTCTATGAGAGGATGAAAAATCCTGTGTTTTTTTTAAGGATAATTTCAAAACCTCTCTGAGGTTTCTAATAATTACACATAAATACCCTCTAATATGAAAATTACACTACTCTCCCTTGATTGGCATATTTGATAACAAACTAAGCCCTTGTGAGAAAAAGTAATCTTAAAAGTGATAAATCAGTCTTGCCAAACAATTATATTCCAAGTTTGCCCTTATTGACCCTACAAGAAAATGAGTTAAAATTTTGGGCAAGAAAATTTGGCACCAAATTGATCCCCTTGGGACATGAAAAAACATTAAACAAATCAGCATTCTAGATAGTAAAGTCCTACAAAAATGTTTAGAAGTGCAACGGTATCAAATACCATAATGATCAACTTGAGTTAACTAGCTATATTCATTTCATTCAGGTTGTAAAATCCATTTGAAATATGGATATAATTGTAAAAATGTAGCCCCAAAAGTTAAGCCTTGGTAGTTATATAATGGTAGAACCACAAAGCCACGAAATGGTGGATTTGAATTCATCTGCAATATATAGTAGGAATTTATCTACCATATTTCAAAATCAAAGATTCTAGATGTACAAAACACTATAAACTAAATAAACTAAAACAAGTTTTAAATATAATAAATAACAAGGCCATACATGTCAAGTGTACTAAATACCCACCAAAAGTTGTTATGTTGTTCAATTCAAGCATATTAGGAGGAATTATATCCATATGGTCCACAAACTAGTTGATTGCCAACTTATTTTCATGCAACTTAAACCTTTCCAATGACTGCCTTGTCAGTGTCGGCATTCATCGTTGCAATACTTCTTGGAATCCCACACCTCATATGTGGTAAATAATTAAGATTTCCAGATAATTTATGAAGTGTTCTCTCACAAACATCATAAAACAATTCTATATAAGAATACTTATCAAGATCGATATTAGGAATCCTGATTCTCTTCCCCCCCCCCTCTTTCCCCCCATTGTAGTGAACTACAATGTAATTTGCAACCATAGGTGACATCTTGTTTTATACAATTAATCATTAGTATCATAGTTGTTACTTACTAAAATCAGAACTTGAATAATAAACTAAAGCCTTCTTTGTCATGTAATAACATCTAAGAGCACCTTTGAGAGTACAAAAAAAACTCCTTAGCAGTGTATTTGATTAGCTATTTTTGGAGGTGTTTTTGAAAAATTTTACTGTAGCAGTGTATATAAAAAACTTTTACTATAAATATGTTTTGAAATATTTGATATATTGTATGAATGAGATGTTATTTGAGTTATTTTTTATTTGTGTATGTAGTATTGTATTTGAAAAACTTATTTTTGAAAAAATAGCCAATCCAAATGGAGCATATTTTTTTATTTACCCACATTAGATAGCTTTATTATCCCGAAACAATATCAACTAATCTTTCATTCTTCCATTACCATCCTTCATTGCTCAACAAGTTTTACAAGTAGTACAACTGGTAAATTGTCTATAAAAATATTATACTTGGAAGACTTATTTTTCTCCATATTTCTAGTATTCTAGGGACTGATTTTGTAAGGGTATTTCAGTCACTTTGTTGTTGTTGAAGATGACATCTGGTCACATCAAAATGAAAGGGGAAGGCAGTGTAATTTTTTACATTGGAAGGTATATATGTGTAATTATCAGAACCTCAGAGGAGGTTTCTGAAATTATCCTTTTTTTAATTAGTGATTTATGCTTTATATTTGATGGTTTTAGTCACTTCCTACAATGTTGTGTTGCAAATACTTCATAGTTTAAAGTGCTTTGAACACAATAGGACCTGGGCATATGGCGTAAGGTTGAAAAACAGTATTTTCAAAAAGCCATACCGTGAATTGGACTGAAATATACTTGTCAGGCCTAGATCACCATTTATGTCCTTTCTTCCCAAAGTCCCAAATTCCAAAACTTATCTAACTTTGATACAAGCCAGGAAAGTTACCAAAAGGGCTACTTGCCAGTATTCAGATTTTGAGAGTAAAAAATTTATCCCCCTATCGTTGCTAGAAAAGTTACCAAAGGGTACTTGCTAGTATTCAGATTTGAGAGTAAAAAATTTACCCCATCGTTTTGCCAAGTTTCAGAAATAAATCCCATTAATAGTAAAGGAATCAACTTTTCTACATCCCAAAATAGAATCCTATTCCTCTTTGAAAACTGCGGCTTAGAAGTTAATTCATACCAATAAAATGGAATCCTTTTCCAACTTGTGACTTTGTCCATGGCATCTAAAATTAAAGACCCTTTTTTTCTATCTACTTTTGGATTCCAAATTGAAGAACCTCCTCATTAAATATCCCTTCCTATTTGTCTTGGGGAAAAGTTGTTTAACCATAGATTTAAGATGCACGTCTTTTCAAGAATATTACTAGAAATTCTCTCCCCATTGAACCGAAGTTTTGCTTCTGCTAAGACATGAGAAGTACAAGATTAAATCAACGGGTTCGATACCTTGTCAATTTTTTAAAAACTTGAATTCTCCGTGTTGTATCTATGTAACGGTAACTTTTAACTTTCTGCTCTGCCCTTTTGAACCAACAAATTAACTACTCTAGATTAGTTTCTTCTTTAGTTTTGGTAGGTTTTGGCTTTTGTTTCATGTCCTTTTTTTTAAACTACACCAGAGTTTAGTTTGTAATGCAAATTAGTTTCACAATGAATTCAAACTATAAACTTGAAGTAGGTTGAATATGTGCTTAATAAATTAATAATTTTCTAACGCCCTTCAATTTAAAGGCTTGGCATAGAATAATTAAATTAATTGTTTGGATAGAGTATTATTTGAAATATATTTTGGAATAATTACTGTAGCACTTTTTGTGATGTGATATATGTGAGATAAAAAGTTGATTGGGAATATAAAAAGGTGGGTTGGAAAATGTGTTTATAATGCAAGCGAAATATTATTTAGATAATGTGTGTATCCAAACAAACCATTGATTCTGGTGATTATTTCTGCTGCAGGTAAACATCAATTCAAATTTATTGACAACAAAATAATGGCTGAAGATGAAGAAGCAAGAGACACGGAACTACAGTATCTTCAACGTCCTCCTCATCCTGCAAGTTTGCCCTTGGTTTTTGATATCTCATGGGAAACAATTACAAAGGCGCACTTTCTTTAGCATCGCCAAAAATCACTACCACACTAGAATTGTCCCTTGTTTACGGTACAAGATTGTATTCTGCTGTTGTTTTGTCTGGCTCATCTTGCGATTTTGGTTGGGAAAATAGATGATTGTTATCTTTTCAATCATGTTTCTATGGAAAATTTTCAATCCTATTTCTATGAAAAATATTCAACTTCTGCCACTTGAATCTTTTGAATATGTTACAACTGCCTTGTTATCTAAACCCCAAGTGACCCCAATTGCAGTATTCTCTTAATTGGCATCCCTGACCGAATTGCATTTTACCAGACTGGTGATAAGAAGTTTGTCCAACAAAGTCGAGAGAATTCTTTGGATACTGCAGCAGCCATCAATGGCAAAATATATGGCTTGACGTTACTCTGGATTTTGCGGGTTCAGTGATACAACTTAGCTGCATGATAAATGATGGTTTACAAACGGCATCACCTTCGAATAATTCTCAGTTCACTAGATATTTGATTGAGTCCTGTGGTGAACTCCTATATGTTCACAAAATTTACCCAACTTCAAACAAACACCATCCTTGAATTGCTGCACAGGTAACAACAGACTTGCTCCTATCAAAATTGCTGCAACAAGAACTCGAAGGCCAAACAAATATAATATGACTTTAGCTAAACGTTGGTATTTTTCGAAATTCTAGTGCTCATATATAGAAGTGGAGGAAAGGAATAAGCCAATTAGTAATTTAAAATTTTGATAAAGAAGAAAGAAACTAATAAATTTTTTGGCCCATATGTCCTCACACCAATATGCAATTAATTTTCTTTCCTTTATAGTCATCACAGTCTACCTATACAAAATAAATAAGTAAATAAAAGGTGAGATGAGGCACCAAAGGCGAAGGGGAGGGAGAAAACTTGCAGCAAACAAACAAAAATAAAATAAAATAAACAAACAAATTTTGGTAGGCCTGGCAAAACACTTGCTTGGGCTATTCGGTTTGCCGGCTACAGCAATAAAAGAAGCCTAATTCCTGAAATTCATCGGGCTGAGCCATACAAAAGTGTTGTTGTAGTGAAATTCATTGGGCGGCGCAGAGCCCATACAAAAGTGTTGTAGCAGTGGAATTCATCAACTGTCCAATCGAGCAGCTCATACGGCCCACCCAATAAACAGAAAAGGAAACGGAGAAACGAATTCCGAGTCTCCGACTCTGAGCTTAGTCGACGGAATACTCAACAGACCGGTTCGCCGGAGTCGCCACTGGAACCTTATCAGAAAATTCCCTAGTACATCATCTGTGGATCTCCGACGACCGGTAAACGGATTCTGTGATATTTCCGGAAGCTCATTTCACTGTAATATTTTTACGTTAAACCCTTCCGCAGGGTTTTATAATCTCCTCAACTTTCACTAATGCGCCAGATTTTGTAAGTTCAGTCCTGGTTAATCCTGCTAATTGATATAATTATGATTACTATTGTTGTTGTTGTGAATAGGTTGATCGATTTTATAGGATTAGATTAATTGTTTTGACAAGGATGAAAATGCAAATCCAAAATGTTGATAACATGGCTGAATTTGGTGTTTGAACCAGATGTAGAGCTCGGTTACAATGGTTTGCGAGCTCAACTTTGCGGCTAAAGCCCCCTCTCTACTTGTAGGCTCATTTGCTTGAACTCTTTCCTATTTGTTGTTTTGCTGATGAAATGAAATAGAAAAATTAGAAAGATAGATTTGTCAACTTTAGTTATTGATTGAGTACTACTAGCTTTTGAGAAATTGGAGCATAAGTTGGTGAAAAATTTTTTGTATAGGGGCGACTGGTTGGACCTAGCAGAGTTGAAGCATTGTGTACTTTGACAACTTCTAATGGTATCTATCATGTCATTCTATATCTCTTAAAAACTGCATAAAGTTTTTATGTATGTTTGTCTATTTTAATGTAAAAAGTTTTATTAAGAAAATTGATGAATTTGTGGGAAGGTTAATGATTTGGTGGTGCCATTATAGGTTTAATGCACTGGACAGATTCAACTACAAAACCCTTTCAGGAGCAAATTGTTGATGCACTCTGCTTGGGAGAGAGGAGTAAAGCTTCTAGTTTGCTGTCAGAGCTTGTGCGGACTGTCAAAACATTGAAAGCCAATGATTTTCTTTTAGTTCTGCAGTATTGTGCTAGATTGCCTGATCCACTGGTATGCTTGAGATCAATATTTCTTTTCGCTACTGGCTTGTTTGCTGTTTTCTGAAGTAATCATACTTTGGAATATATTCTCTAAATGTAAGTTAAATTGCTTTAAGCATTAGTGTAGGTACTTGTAATTAGAAATTAAGCTGTTGAACTACAATCTGTTGGTATTGGACTGTGAAATACAATTCAGCCTTAAGTTGGATACAAATAGCAGTACCATTTGTGCATTTATCTGAAAAGGCTCAAAAGCAGCAGTAGAAATATAAGAGCTATAAGTGATTCATGTTGCGCACTTAGAAGCACAAGTTCTTATATCATGATGATGGACATAATTTGAACATGGAGCATGCACCATATAACAGCACTAAGTAGCAGAGAAGATGATTGATTCTTCTTGTTCAGCTGTCCACCTCCTACTCCTGCACATTGTATTCTTGAACTGCTACATCTTAAGGAAGTAGGGATTCCCATTTGATCTTTATGTAGCAGATCATCTGTATTATTTTTAGAATATTTGTTTCATGTGACTGAGTGGTTGCTTTCACTACCTGCAGTTTGCCTTGGAAACATGGAAAGTGATGGAGGAAAAGGAAATTTATGCAGGTGGCAAATGCTACTTTTATACCGTTCGAGCACTTTGCAAGGGAGGCTATCTGAAAGAGGTATTGTTCTTGATCATGATAGTAGTTTTATGGTCATGTAAAGATTGGTTTCCTCTCGTGAGTTATGCAATGTATTCCTTCTCATTCTAATCCTGGGAATAAATGTGATTCACATGGATGTTTAGCAGTAAAGAGTTTGCATCCCACACATTGGAGTCAAACAAGCTAATAAATCCTAATATACCATTTTTTAAATAAGCTTGTCATATGTTGTATCTATGCAGCCATTTTAGTTGTTTGGTTATCTGAAATAGGTATTGGTCTTGATCATGACAGTACTTTGACGGTCAAGCAGTGATTGTTTCCTCTTACAAGTTAAGTAGTCTATTCCTTTTCATTCTAATTATGGAAATAGATGTGATTTCGCGTGGATGTTGAGCACTAAAGAGCTCGCACCGCATACATTGGAGTCAAACAAGCTAATAAACCCTGATATACCATTTTTTTCACACAAACCTGTGGTTTGGTCCACTGCTGCACTCTTGGCTTTATTTTTAGATAACAATGGCAAGTTTCTGAAGTAGATGTGATGTCATATGCTTCAAAGAGAAAGCTGTTGAAAACCAATATACTCCTGATTTGGGTGCCAATATATGCCTTTGGTTCCTTAGGTAGTGCTACTCAAGGGCACAGCATATGATTAATTTCTATTTCAGATATATGACCAAGTTCTGTATAAGAATAATGGTAGTGAAGTTCAAACTTTCTCCTTTTATAAAACATGTCAATGTTCTGAGGAAGTGTGTATTTAAACTTTAGATTGCTATTCATTGGTGTAGTTAAGCTGGATGATCGTTCACCTAGTCTGTTTGCTATTCATTGGTGTAGTTAAGCTGGATGATAGTTTGCCTAGTCTGAAGAATATTTTGGTGGGTCATTGATTTTAGTTGTTTGGATATTATATAATGTTTACTAGCAGTCCCTATATTTTTAGTGGCTCATTTGGGAATTAACTTTCAGAACAGTTGATTTCTGCTAATAAAAGTTCTTATCTTTATATTCTCAATCAGGCATTCAACTTGATGGGCTTGCTGCGAGAAAATCCTGCTATGTATCCGCTTTTGCCCCTGTACAACAGTTTCTTCAGTGCTTGTGTTCAAAATGAAAGTGTAAACTATGCTAACAACTGCTTAGAATTGATGGAACACCAGACAGTGGCAACAATGAAATAACATACGCTCTGCTTCTCAAGGTGTGTGAGAAGATGTTATATGTCAGTTTTCTTGTTTTAATCATGTCATTCCCAGTTCCACCTTCTGATTGGGCATGGCCAAAATGTGATTAACAAATGTCATTCATTTATAGGTTCCTATTGTCTTTTAAAATAAGAAATATGGGCCAAAGTAAAACTACTAGTTACATGGAACCTGCCTTGGCTTACTTTGTTTTCCAGTAAAGCAAGCACGCTCCTACTGAAGCATGAGTGTTATATTGTAATAATTCTGATCTCAAAGCAGTTTTTTGTGGTTCTAGTTTATGTGCTTTAACTTTAAACCATTTCCCTCCTCTCAGGAGAAATATAACTAGCTGTTGCTATGCCACCACTGTTGGTTATTGCTCGGATTATGGTTGTTTCTCTTAAAACCTGTGGTGCTAGGCAGTGATGATGCTCACAATGTAGTTGGAGTGCATGTATTGGATCTAGGCAAATAATTTAAGGACACTAGTGAAAGCATTAAAAACATTTTCAGTTCTCCAATTGGTCTTGATCCAGCTAGTCTTTTTAATGGTATTGGTTGTTCTTTCCAACCTTTTACCCTGTTACCATTCAGTGACTATTGGCTTGATATTTATACTTGTGATTATTCATCTAGGTACCTGTCTTCTAAATCCATTCTTTCAGCTTGCAGTTTTACATCAAAATCTGCCTGCAGTGCATGAGATATGGAAGGAGAGCATCAAATACTATAGTCTAAATATCATTTCTCTACGAAAGTTCATATGGTCCTTCACAAGGTTGAGAGACTTGGAATCTGCCTATGTGACCTTACAGTACATGGTGCGTATGGCTTTCCGAGGAAACTCTGTCATCTTTAAGACTGCTGAAGGAAAGTTATCTGATTCAAGATTGGACATACCAATTCCGTTGAATGGTCACTTGAGCCTCAAGAATTGTACCAAAGACAATGGTATTGTACCTTCTGTACCTGAAAATGTAGACAGGAGTGTTACAAACCCTGGCAAGCTTGGGTTTGAATTCAAGTTTGGTGTGGAAAGTCATGGAGCTAGCAGGGTCATCACAAGTAGGCCAGTAAAACATCTAGAGCTTCCTGTTATGAAGCTACTTAGGTGGTCTTTCAGTGATGTGATACATGCGTGTGCAGACATGCAAAACTGTACATTAGCAGAGCGGTTGATTTCACAGGTAATGAAAAACATCTTACTTTAGCTGTCTTCCCATGTTTGAGGAATTCTAAACATCAAGTCCTTTTTTGAGTAGCTAACTTTCCATGTCACCAGACAGACTCGGGGTGTAAAAATGTGAAACTTTAACTAATTTGCATGCACATTTTTGGTTCCCCCATTTCTGTGGATCAATTCATGTTTAGTATCATTCAGTTGACTTGACTTTTCTATCTGTTGTAGATGCAAAATCTTGGTTTGGAACCATCTTCCGGCACATATGACGGCTTCTTAAGAGCAGTTGTGCAAGCAAGAGGTTTTTATGATGGCATGCAAGTGGTAAGATATGAAAATTTATGCAGGAACATATTTTGAAGGTTCTTTCAAAACAAAAATGTTCATAAAGAGGGAAAACCTCCCTTCTCTCTCTCTCTCTCCCCCCCCCCCCCACACACACACACATAAATGTGCCCTGGTATTTTATAGTCTGCAGTTTTGCCAAGTATGTCATTCATTTTGTTCTATACTTTTCAACGTACAATTGTTTATGCAACTCTTACTTCCATTTTATTGTTGCCTGACTTAAATAGTGTGTATCTAATCATTTTGCAGCTAGAAGTTATGCAACAGAAAAAATTGAAGCCTTATGATTCTACTCTTGCAGCTATTTCCGTTGGTTGCAGCAAAGGTTTACAACTAGATTTGGCTGAGTCCTTCCTGGATAAAATATCAAAAACTCCAAGTCCTTATCCTTATAACGCCTTTTTTGAAGCATGTGATGTTCTGGTGAGTGAGTAAATAAGATCGTGCTTGCTAGTAATTGAATATGGTTTTGAAAGAACAATTGTAGTATCAAATTATATTGAATTGGTTTTTGCCTAATTTACCACATGTTGATAAATTATTTTTCTCGGTGTCCCTTAAATTCTATGTACATAGTGTGCCACATTTTTTTAATAGTGATATTGCTTCTCCTTTAAGATGGCTCTATGTACTCCACAAGTTTCTTGTTGAGCATCAAGAAACTTACTAGAGAACATTGAGTTATGGTTAATTCATGCAGATTCCCATAATCTTGATACATGTACTTGTTTGGAGTTGACTGCTAAAAGCATATACTGTTGATAGATCCTCCCATTTAATGCTTCTGTGTAATTCTATGTGTAGGATCGACCTGAACGTGCTGTTCGAATGTTAGCTAAAATGAAAAAATTGAATATCCAGCCTGATGTCAGGACTTATGAGCTGCTGTTTTCATTGTTTGGTAATGTGAATGAACCTTATGAAGAGGGCAATATGTTGTCACATGTGGATGTTGCTAGACGGATAACTGCTATAGAAATAGATATGATGAAGAATGGCATTCAACATAGTCATGTATCATTGAAGAATTTGGTAAGTTTTGCCTCTGATGTACTTTTTAACTAAAAATAGGCTCGGAATGAATTTCATGATTTAAAAATTGATCTTCCATATTTGACGGTCTTCATGAAGTGTGTTGGGTGTTTGGTAATACATTGGCAGACATTATTTATCACGTTTAAGTACTTTGCAACTTATAAAATGAGGTAACACCCAACTAGGCTTGTTTAGGTAAAGAAGAAGGACTACAGACTGCTTTTGGCCTGTGAACTCAAGTGTTTCAGAATTGTATCTTTTTGCTCTAACTTCGTAGATTTGCTCCTTTCATTGATTTTCTGCAGCTAAGAGCACTTGGAATGGAGGGTATGATAAAGGAGCTTACTCAGTATCTGCATGATGCTGAAAGACCATCTTCTAGCTTATATGCTTTGCTGGGAACGCCTGTCTATAATGTAGTTTTGCATTCACTTGTCCAGGCTAAAGAAGTGAGTACTCGAAATTGTTTGATTTAGATCTTACATGTTTTACCTTAGCATGCTTTTGTTTTCTCATAAATGAATAGATCTTTTCATGACATATATGTCTCATATTTCTCTATAAATTGACTCGACAGATGGGATTTTCTTTGAAATCCTGACATTGTCGAGACTGATAACCTATAAACATATTCATTTGACCTTTAAATTGATGTTTGATTTTTTTTTTTATTTTCTTTAGACGCATATGGCTGTAGAAACATTCAAAATAATGAAATCGAGAGGAATTTCATCAGATGCTGTTACATATTCTATCATGACCAATTGTTGCAGCACTATGAAAAGTGCTAGATCTGCTTATGCCCTGGTTTCGATGATGATTCGTGATGGTTTTTATCCAGAGACTGTTACATACACTAGTCTCATTAAGGTACGTCAGTTCACTTGTCTGGCTATTTGTCGGGTGAAGTTGCATTTATCGTTGGAAGTATTTGTTTGTATAGAGAGTAGGTTAAAAAGTTGTTGATACAGGTTTAAGTATCTTCTTAATATGACTCAAAGAACCCTTTTTTTGTTCTCCTTTATTCTGCTTAGATGCACTTTGTTAGTGGCAACTGGTGTCAAACTAGCTATTAAGTAGCCTTATTTTTTTGGAAGCGCAGAGGTCTCTGTGTAGCTTAACCTTATGATTTTTTAAATTTCCTCAGACTTTGCTGGGACTTGATGACTTTAACGAGGCACTGAAGTTGCTTAATCAGGGGAAGCTGGACAAAGTCCAACCAGATGTGCTGTTATACAACACTCTTCTTCAAGAAGCATGTCAAAAGGTAATTGATTTAATTAAACTATGATCTGGTGATTATCTAATCACTATCACACTCGAAAATATTAAAAAGTGGATTGGCAATAGAATGTGTTGTATTAACATCTTTGGCGGCATGGCTTTCCATTTTAATGGGACCAATTATGTGATGCAGGTGTTTTCCATACCTTTTTCATTTCCCTATTTTCTTGTTACCCCTACTATCCTTGATTCCTTTGAGGCGTGGCTAGGTTGGGGAATATGGATATACTGCATGTCCTATTTCTGAATCTGTAGACTCTGCTTAAACTTTTAGTACAAAATGGTCTAGGACTGACCTTGAGTCCACAACTTACAAGCTTTAGTTTCCTTTCTGTAAATCATTCTTTGCAAAGTTCATGGCAGTTCATGTTTTGCATAATTTGTGATTGAAAAAGTTTTTAGGAGAAACATAAGGAGCACAGTGTGTGGCAATTTGTCATGATGCTCTCAATGGCATGCCTCCCCTTTTGGTGTAGAGGGTACTATTCCAAGTTGCCTTTGTGCAATGTTTCCATCCATTTAAGGATAATTGATTATGTTGTTTCCTACCCCAAAATTAAAATTAAAAATAAAAAGAAATTCTGTTGAGCTATTGTCTTTGTGCTTTTGTTAAGTTGGATGGATGTTTATCAGTTCACTGCCTCTTTGCAGGGAAAAAATTGATGTGATTGAGCTTATTGTTGAACAGATGCCACCGAGAGAAGATCCAACCTGATCCATCAACCTGTCATTATGTTTTCTCTGCATATGTTGACCAAGGTTTCTACAGCACTGCAATGGAAGCATTGCTTGTGATGAGTATGCGAATGATTTCGAGGATGATGACATTCGTGAAGAAGAAAGGGCTGAATTTGAAAATCTAATTGTTGCTGAAGACATGGAAGCTCGGATAATAGACCTTTTAAAATCTCTATGGATGATATCCATTTCGCCCTATTGCACTTGAGATGTGTGCATATGCTTGGATACACGGTATCATGGTTACCAAATGAGAGTCAGTGGGCCAAGAGACTTTCAGAAAATTATGCACTACTCCTTGAGAAGTAGTTAGGGGCAACTAACACATTCGTTAGGGAAGTGATATTAGGCATTTACAGAGCGATAGTGCTGCATCAATTAATTACTGATGATTCACTCATGGAGTAGGATGGATAAGCGTCTCACAACTCGTGGAGCAAACGGATAACCTTCCTACACCAATTTGGACACATTTACAGCCAAGAATTGTCCCTGACTGTTGGTAGTTCAGAGTTCATTGTCACTTGTACTTTCCTTTTTTCTTTTGGTTTGGTAGAAAGCAACTATTTTTCCGTTCATTGTGCCGGTAATCTGCGTCAATGCGAGTTAGAGAACAGTAGCATTTTTTGCTGTACCAAACCCAGTTTTGTAGACAAGGAATAGACCGCGTCTGTGCATAGACAAATCTGTAGCTGTTGGCTAGATTAGAGTTTGTATGTTTACTGAGTCAAATTTTGAATATCTGACATGAAGAACAATAATGACGTACATGTACAATTATGATGTATGTCGTAATGTCCTTTTTTTTTTTGGTCAATTTTTTCGTCTTGTCATTCCGAAGCCTTATGGTCATTTATCGCGCATATCCTAACCCTCTCTTCCCCGTCTAGCAGCTGTGGACGTCTAGCAGCTGTGGACATCAATCAAAGCACGTCCAGGTATTCATGGTACTATTGTATGTAAATCCTTGGTCTGCATTCTTGTCCAGGGATTTATTGGAAAGGCATCTTTCTGATTCGGCAGCGGTTCAGTTTTTTCATTTATCTTTCGAATTCACCCTTTTTTTTTTTTTGAAGGACGTAGAATAGAATTTATCGCGTTTTGAAAAAAAATGTAAATCAAAGCAAATATTGTGAAAATTGTGACTAAAATGGACTATGTTGCTTTTGTTTTTGGTCTGGTCAATATCCGTATCAATGTGGAAAGTTTGTTCAGACTATTTTAGGAATTAATTAAGTTGACTAGAATTATGGAAACAAACAGCCAGTTCTGAATGCTCTTGACAGAGTTTCTTCAAGTCTAGTTTGAAATTCATTTGGTGCCATCAATTCCAAATTTCCAATTCCATCAGTTGGGGACCTTTTCTTTAAGCATTTTTGAGAGACTTTCTGAATTGTGATGCAGGACTAAAAGCTCCTTAGAAGTGATTGAAATATCCTGAATAGGCATTAGCAACAAATTACAATTGATTGCCAAAGATAAGGTAGCTCTTAAAAGTGCCTTCAAGGTAAACAAGACAAAGCCAACTGATCATCTCCCTTAAGCTGAATTCATTTTGAGGCTGGAGCTCAATTGATTGTATTACAGTTCCAGAGACTTGCATGCTACTATTAACAGGCTTTTGACAAAGAGAAGTATAGAGAAATTGTACTTATTAAGTGCAAACTGTAATTGTGCTTCAGATAAAAATGAAAAAAAAATAAAGAAGGAGGAATGTTAACAGAAACGTAAAGATTAATTGATCCAAACTTCTAACAAAAATTTACTAGTATTCCGTACCAATTTATTACTAATTTAGTTTTACCTGCATCATCGCCAGCTAAATTGTACTTGGAAGGTTTATGGCAATGGAAAACTAGTTGGACGAAATTGAAAAAATATTTTTCAACTATTTCGGAAAAAAATCTTTCAAAAATATCTCTGCATGTCTGTTAGGTAAAAATTAGTAAAAGAAAAAGAAAAAAAGGAAAACGTAAAACTAGTGAAAGAAACTTTTTGACATACAAAAGAATTAATTAAACTTATATCACCCTAAAGAGAAGAAACTCTGATCTTAACTTTCCTGTCCCTAATACATTTGGTATGTAGACCAAAACATCATTGTTATTTCAATTATTCAACCATAAGTTTTTGCCACTAATTTGATAGAATGCCAAAGACTTTGGTCTTTCATTGATTTCATGTCAAGACAAGTATCATATCATGTGTATGTCCTCCTCCATTTATGCTCTCTTTATTTATTAATAAAATATAGGGCTGGTATTCTCTCATGTATAACTTTTGTCAAAAAAAATTACATTCAAAGATACAAAATACCTAAACATGTATAGATACATATATATCGACTACTCCAAGTTATTAGGAGTATAGTATAGATTCTCTTTTGTTTTATTTCATTTTAGAGCAAAAGCAGGAAAATCTTTAATCTAGAGTATTTTATAAATATTACTCGAATTGAACCGCGTCTACCCGAAAGAAGACTATGATTTCATTAAAGTTTGAGACATGAGTTTTTTAAATGAAAGAGCTGATTTTTTTTCACAACTAAGAATTAATTTTCTTTGCTTACACATTGAAGAAGCCAAGAAAAGATTAAAAATGTGAAATAGTTCTTGGGCAGGTGAGGAGAAAAAGAGTTCAAAGGGGCCACTGGCAAGGTGTAATTTCAGTCAAAAGTTCCCATGGTTTTCCACACGTGTAAGGTTTTGACAAATATTTATAGTGAAAATGGATTAAGGTGACCAAAAAATATAACCACCACGATTAGTCTAGAGGAAGAATTGTTTTAATTGCATTTTTCTGAACTTTTTGTAGAAAAATTACTGTAGTGATTTGACATATGTGAAGTAAAAGATGATTGAAAAATGTATCAATGAAAAACGTAGCAATTTGTAGCGATTTGAAAAGTTGCAATCCAAACACACACGTAGCAATTGTAGAAAAATTTAAAGTTTTTCTCACTGTTAGTTTCAAGGTTCGAATCTTTGACAATTGGGATAGAAAGGATGTGCAAAGTGGGGAAGGCTAAAAAAAAAAGTGACAGAAAAATAAACTAAAGCCTGTAGTACAATACACACCAAATCTTAGAGGACTTGCTGCATATGTGTCCTTTAGCGGACGCTCAAAATTGAAATTGGATTAGTCCATTCGTTAATTGCAGAAAAAAGGGACAAAACTTACATCACGAGATATGCACATAAAAAAGCTTATCAACAGCAAATCTGTCACCAGGGAATTAAATTAGGTTAATTGCACTAAGCCGCCTAAACAATTGGTGTGATTGAAATTTTTCTTCCTAATGTTGTAAAATAACTCTAATTATGCACTTCTTGAACATTCGAATATCCAGGGAGGAAATATTTTGGTCCACAAAAGTTACACGGTATGCTCTTCCAGTAAGTGCATTCCAATTTTATTTTTTTTTTTGCATCATGAAATAATTTATGTTTGTAAATAGAATACAAAGCATGCAATTTTTTTAATTAGTTGGATTTTACTTATTAAGGGTATTTTCCCCCAATGAAAAAAAAAATATCTCCCATGTTCTTCTAGTTTTACTGAAAGCAAATGTAACGGTAATAATGGCTTTTCATAAACTGTTAACACTGAATTTTAAGGGTTATTATCACTTTACCCCCTTCAACTATATCACTACTATCAGTTTACTTCCTAACGTTATCTTTTAATTACTTCACCCCCATAAGTAATTCAACTCAACATGTTAAAAATTTTTGGACAAAAATACCCTTTTTTTTATAGCATTACTATATTGTTATTAGGGTTATTATCACTTTACCCCTTAAACTATATCAGTATTATCAGTTTACCCTCTAACGTTATCTTTTAGTCACTTTAGCCCCATAAGTAATTTAACTCAACATGTTAAGAAATTTTGGACAAAAATACCCTTTTATTTTATAGCATTACTACATTGTTATTATCACTTTATTCGTTTGGATTATAGTGATACAATCACTTTAGTTCCTATCATTATTTTCTAGACATTTTACCTCATCATTAATCTAACTAGTATGGTCAAAAAAGTTTAAATATATTTATCATTTTTTATATATAATTAAAAATAAAAAAGTTGGAATGGTTATTCTTCCTTTTTTTCACTTTAAAAATCAAAAAACATAAAAATAAAAAGGTTTTCTCAAATTTCTTTATTTCACACTTATTAATACTAAGAAAGAAAAAGAGATAGGAAAGAAGGAGACAAAAAATTAGATTTTGCCAAAAAAGAAAACAAAGAAAAGTCTAACATTATCGTATTACTTTAAAATTGTCGGAATTGGAATTAGAATTGGAATTTGGTGGTAAACAAAAAAATGAAATAATTTTAAAATAATAAAAGTATTTAATTCTTTCGTATTTGTAATTTTTAAAAAAAGAATTGAGCTCTATCTCTCTCTCTAACACCCCTGGCCGATATTGTCCTATAGTTAGCCGCCTGTGGGGCCGTGGGCTTTGTTCCTGGCGGTGCTAGACAACACAACAAGCTAGCACAACGGCTATATCTCACCAAAAGACCTCGACCAGGTGGGGGACACCACAACAGGTTATTAAAGCAGCCCAAGACTTCTTCCCTTAGCCGATGTGGGATCATTACAATCCACCCCTCTTAGGGGACCCAGCATCCTCATTGGCACACCGGGGTCAGGAGTCGACTCTGATACCAACTCTAACACTCTTAATCAATATTGTTCCACAGTTAGCCGCCCCGTGGGGCCGTGGGTTTTGTTCCTTGCGGTACTGGACAACACAACGACTATACCTCATCAAAAGACCTCGACCAGGTGGGGGACACCACAATAGGTTATTAAAGCAGCCCAGGACTTCCTCCCTTAGCTGATGTGGGATCATTACACTCTCCCCCCCCCCATCTCTCTCTCCCTCTCCATCTTTCTATTTTTTTTTCAATATTAATAAGATTACCAAGAACAAAGAAATTAATATTTTGATTTTTTCCTTGAGACTAAAAAGAAAAAGAGTCACTTTAAATTTTTTATTTTTTATTATGCAAAGAGAATGGTATTTTCTTCTAAAGTTTTTTTAACTTGTTAAGTTGGTTTAATTGTAGGATAAATTGTCTAAAAAAATAACTCTGGGGAGTAAATTGATAATGAGACTATATATTTTATGGGAGTAAAGTAATAATAATTTGAAGGGCTAAACATGTCTTTTCACTTTAATTAACAAACTCCGTTAAATTTGACCATTAGTTTTGGGGGTAAAGTGATTAAATGATAACGTTAAGGGAGAAATTGATAGTAGCACCAAACGTTGAGGGGATAAAGTGATAATAACCCTTCTTATTATCACTTTATTCCTTTAAATTATAGTGATATAATCGCTTTAATTTCTAACATTATTTTCTAGGTATTTTACTTCATCATTAATCTAAATAGTATGGTCAAAAATTTTAAATATATGTACCCTTTTATATATATAATTAAAAATAAAAAAAATTGGAATGATTATTCTTCTTTTATTCACTTTAAGAGATTCAAAAATATAAAAATAAAAGGATTTTTTCAAATTTTTTTTCACATCTATTAATACTAGGAAAAGAATAAGAGATAGGAAAGAAGGAGAAAGAAAATTAGATTTTGCAAAGAAAAAAAATAAAGAAAAGTGTAACATTATCGTATTAATTTAAGGTGTTGATATTAGGATTAAAATCTGGTGGTAAACAGTAAAGTAAAATAATAAAAGTATTTAAATTTTTTTTATTTGCATTTAAAAAAAAGAATTGAGCTCTCTCTCTCTCTCTCTCTCCTTATCTTTCTATTTTTTTAATATTAATAAAATT